GAGTGGGTGCAAATTCTCCCAATTTATGACCTACCATGCGATCCGTTATATAAATAGGCAAGTGGTCCCTTCCATTATGAATAGCAATAGTATGCCCAATCATTGTGGGTATAATGGTAGATGCTCTGGACCAAGTTACTATTATTTCTTTTTCTCCCTTTGTGTTAAGCTTATTTATTTTTTTTAATAAATGGTTTCCCACAAAAGGATTTTTTTTTAATGAGCGCGCCACAGTGAATTTCCCTCCTATTTTTTTTTGTTTGTAAAGTAAAGACGAAGAAAAAAATTGCATAATCCCCTACCATCTCATAGGGCACCATACCGATAGGCCACCACACCAAAAAGAGGATGGACCTAATTCCCCATACAGCAAGACTTAATACAGCTGTTTCCCCACTCGCCCCTGCATGCTGGACAGTCACCGAAGGAAATACCACTAAGCCTTCGGCATTGGCGCACAATGGATGGTGCCCTACTCCACAGATCGTGCCTATGATGTGGAGGAAATCACAAAACCATCACATCATAGGGAAGACATCACAATATGTGTAAGACGTAAGGAGTAAGGGTGGAGCTTATTATATGTCTAAACATCAAACCTCCGTTTCTCTACTCCGCCCTGCATGAGGATAGGCCAAATGCAGTAACCGAAGGAAATACCATTACGCCTTCGGTGTTGGCGCACAGTGGAGGGTGCTACACTCTAAAAGGAGGATCTTGTCTCCGATGGAACTACGAAAACCATCGAAGTCGGAAGGTGTAAGGAGTATGGGATTCTTTGGTGTGAGTTAGATGTTATTGATGAGTGAGAAGGGTGTGATATCATTGTCTGTCAAGGTTTAGAAATTGATGATTTGTCTGTTTTATGTATTTTGGCAAAAGAAAGTGTTCTTTAGTAGTTTGTGTAAGTGTGTGTAGTGTGTATTGTAATAGTGTGATTTTGCTGTTTGTTGTTGATTGTAAAGTTGTATGTGTTGAGAAAGTGATAGTTTTGTCTATTTTCTGTCTCCTTAACATACAAAGCCCTAGCCCTCCACTCGACCATACAAAGCCCAGGTTTTAAGTCTGTCTCCTTAACATACAAAGCCCAAATAGCCCTCCACTCGGCCATATAAAGCCCAGATTTCAAGTTTGTCTCCTTAACATGATAGATTCGAATAAAAGTGGATTATTTTAAAATTTGTTGAATTGTGGGTTTGATCGAGCTAAAATAAATCAAACGTCGACGAACCTGCACGGGCGAAGCCCAAAAGATTTCAAGTCTCCCTCCGTAACCACTCAAACATATCAACCTCGATGCTAAGCCAATTTTTGAAGTCAATAGATAGATTCGAATAAAAGTTGAATTGTTTTAAAATTTATTGAATTTTGAAGTCAATAGATAGATTCGAATAAAAGTTGAATTGTTTCCTGGGCGGGTGAAACCCAAAAGATTTCAAGTCTCCCTCCTAACCACTCAAATGTATCAACCTCGATGCTATAGCCAATTTTTGAAGTCAATAGATAGATTCGAATAAAAGTTGAATTGTTTTAAAATTTATTGAATTATGGGTTTGATCGAGCTAAAATAAATCAAACGTTGACAGGGTTCAAACGGGCGCGAATCCCAACAGATTTCGAGTCTGTCTCCTAACAACTCAAACCTTGATTCTTAACAACTCGGACACAGACCCTCGACAGACAGGGTTCAAAGGGCGCGAAGCCCAACAGATTTCAAGTCTGTCCCCTAAGCCCAACAGATTTCAAGTCCGTCCCCTAATAGCAGCTCAAACCTTGATTCTTAACAACTCGGACACAGACCTCAAGTCTGTCCCCTAAGCTAAAATAAATTAAACGTAGACAGCAAGGTTTGAACTTTCAAGTCTGTCTTCTTAATCACTCAGACATATCAACCTCAACGGACACAGACCTCAAGTCTGTCCCCTAAGCTAAAATAAATTAAACGTAGACAGCAAGGTTTGAACTTTCAAGTCTGTCTTCTTAATCACTCAGACATATCAACCTCAACGGACACAGACCTCAAGTCTGTCCCCTAAGCTAAAATAAATTAAACGTAGACAACAAGGTTTGAACCTAAGACTAACAGATTTCAAGTCTGTCTCCTTAATCACTTAAACATATCAACCTCAATGTTGTAAAGAATTTTTGAAGTCAATAGATAGATTCGAATAAAAGTTGAATTATTTTAAAATTTATTGAATTGTGGGTTTGATCAAGCTAAAATAAATCAAACATCAACAGCAGAGTTTGAACCTAAGCCCAACAGATTTCAAGCCTGTCTCCTTAACCACTCAAACATATCGACCTTTTAAAATTTATTGAATTGTGGGTTTAATCGAGCTAAAATAAATCAAACATCGACACCAGGGTTTGAACCTAAGCCTAACAAATTTCAAGTCTTATCTCCTTAACCTCTCGAATAAAAGTTGAATTATTTTAAAATTTATTGAATTGTGGGTTTGATCAAGCTAAAATAAATCAAACATCAACAGCAGAGTTTGAACCTAAGCCCAACAGATTTAGATTTCAAGCCTGTCTCCTTAACCACTCAAACATATCGACCTTTTAAAATTTATTGAATTGTGGGTTTAATCGAGCTAAAATAAATCAAACATCGACACCAGGGTTTGAACCTAAGCCTAACAAATTTCAAGTCTTATCTCCTTAACCTCTCGAAAATATCAACCTCGATGCTATGGGGAATTTTTGAACTCAATAGATAGATTCAAATAAAAGTTGAATTGTGGGTTTGATCGAGCTAAAATAAATCAAACGTCGACAATAGGGTTCAAACCTGCACAGGCGAAGCCCAACAAATTTCAAGTCTGTCTCCTTAACCACTCGGACATATCAACCACGATGTTGTAGGAAATTTTTGAAGTCAATAGATAGATTGGAATAAAAGTTGAATTAATAAAAGTTGTATTGTTTGACAATTTATTGAATTGTGGGTTTGATCGAGCTAAAATAAATCAAACGTCAATAGCAGGTTTTGAACTTGTGCGAGCAAAGCCCAACAAATTTCAAGTCTGTCTCCTTAACCACTAGAACATATCAACCTCTATTATAGGGAATTTTTGAACTCAATAGATTCGAATAAAAGGTGGATTGTTTAAAAATTATTGTGGGTTTGATAGAGATAAAATAAATCAAATGTCAGCAGGGTTTGAACCTACCCGGGCGAAGCTCAACAAATTTCAAGCCTATCTCCTTAACCACTCAGACAGGCTTGATCGAGGTAGAACGTCGACAATAGGGTTCGAACCTTCGGGGGCGAAGCCCACCAAATTTCAAGTCTGTCTCCTTAACCACTTGAACGACCTCGATGCTATAGGAAATTTTTGAAGTCAATAGATAGATTCAAATAAAAGTTGAAATGTTTTAAAATTTATTGAATTATGCGTTTGATCGAGCTAAAATAAATCAAACGTCAACAGCAGGGTTCGAACCTGCGCAGGGGAAGCCTAATAGATTTCAAGTCTGTCCCCTTAACCACTCGAACATATCGACCTCGATGCTATAGGAAATTTTTGAAGTCAATAGATAAATTCAAATAAAAGTTGAAATGTTTTAAAATTTATTGAATTATGCGTGATCAAGCTAAAATAAATCAGACATCGATAGCAGGGTTCGAACCTGCGCAGGCGAAGCCCAACAAATTTTAAGTCGATCTCCTTAACCACTCGAACCTATCAACCTCGATGTTGTAGGAAATTTTTGAAGCCAATAGATAGATTCAAATAAAAGTTGAAATGTTTTAAAATTTATTGAATTATGCGTTTGATCGAGCTAAAATAAATGAAACGTCGACAGCAGGGTTCGAACCTGCAGGCAAAGCCCAACAGATTTCAAGTCTGTCTCCTTAACTACTCAGACATATCAACCTCGATGCTTTAGGAAATTTTTGAAGTCAATAGATAGATTCAAATAAAAGTTGAAATGTTTTAAAATTTTTTGAATTATGCGTTGATAGTGCTAAAATAAATCAAACGTCGACAGCAGGGTTCAAACCTGTGGGCGAAGCCCAACAGATTTCAAGTCTGTCTCCTTAAACACTCGTCATATCGACCCCGATGTTGTAGAAAATTTTTGAAGTCAATAGATAGATAAAAATAAAAGTTGAAATGTTTTAAAATTTATTGTATTGTGCGTTTGATCGAGCTAAAATAAATCACACGTCGACAGCAGGGTTCGAACCTGCACAGGCGAAGCCCAATAGATTTCAAGTTTGTCTCCTTAAACACTCGGACATATCGACCCCGATGTTGTAGGAAATTTTGGAAGTCAATAGATAGCTTCAATTAAAAGTTGAAATGTTTTAAAATTTATTGAATTATGCGATTGATCGAGCTAAAATAAATCAAACGTCAACAGCAGGGTTCGAACCTGCGCAGGGGAAGCCTAATAGATTTCAAGTCTGTCTCCTTAACCACTCGAACATATCGACCTCGATGCTATAGGAAATTTTTGAAGTCAATAGATAAATTCAAATAAAAGTTGAAATGTTTTAAAATTTATTGAATTATGCGTGATCAAGCTAAAATAAATCAGACATCAATAGCAGGGTTCGAACCTGCGCAGGCGAAGCCCAACAAATTTTAAGTCGATCTCCTTAACCACTCAAACCTATCAACCTCGATGTTGTAGGAAATTTTTGAAGCCAATAGATAGATTCAAATAAAAGTTGAAATGTTTTAAAATTTATTGAATTATGCGTTTAATCGAGCTAAAATAAATGAAACGTTGACAGCAGGGTTCGAACCTGCAGGCAAAGCCCAAAAGATTTCAAGTCTGTCTCCTTAACTACTCAGACATATCAACCTCAATGCTGTAGAAAATTTTTAAAGTCAATAGATAGATTCAAATAAAAGTTGAAAAAATGTTTTAAAATTTATTGAATTGTGCGTTTGATCAAGCTAAAATAAATCAAACGTCGACAGTAGGGTTCGAACCTACGCGGGCAAAGCCCAACAGATTTGAAGTCTTTCTCCTTAACCACTCGAACATATCAACCTCAATGCTATAGGAAATTTTTGAATTCAACAGATAGATTTGAATAAAAGTTGAATTGATTTAAAATTTATTGAATTGTGGGATTGATCGAGGTAAAATAAGTCAAACGTCAACAGCAGGGTTCGAACTTGCGTGGGCGAAGCCCAACAAATTTCAAGTCTGTCTCCTTGACCAACGAACATATCGACCTCGTTGTTGTAAGAAATTTTTAAAGGCAATAGATAGATTTGAATAAAAGTTGAATTGATTTAAAATTTATTGAATTGTGGGCTTGATCGAGGTAAAATAAGTCAAACGTCGACAGCAGGGTTCAAACCTGCGCGGGCGAAGCCAAACAGATTTCAAGTCTATCTCCTTAACCACTCAGACATATCGACCTCGATGCTATAGGAAATTTTTGAAGTCAATAAATAGATTCAAATAAAAGTTGAAATGTTTTAAAAATTTATTGAATTGTGCGTTTGATCGAGCTAAAATAAATGAAACGTCGACAGCAGGGTTCGAACTGCACGGGCGAAGCCCAATAGATTTCAAGTCTATCTCCTTAACCACTCGGACATATCAACCTCAATACTTTAGGAAATTTTTGAAGTCAATAGATAGATTCAAATAAAAGTTGAAATGTTTTAAAATTTATTGAATTATGCGTTTGATCGAGCTAAAATAAATCAAACGTCGATAGCAAGGTTCGAACCTACACGGGTGAAGCCCAACAGATTTCAAGTCTGTCTCCTTAAACACTTGGACATATCGACCCCAATGTTGTAGGAAATTTTGGAAGTCAATAGATAGATTCAAATAAAAGTTGAAATGTTTTAAAATTTATTGAATTGTGCGTTTGATCGAGCTAAAATAAATCAAACGTCGACAGCAGGGTTCGAACCTACGCGGAGCTAAAATAAATCAAACGTCGACAGCAGGGTTCGAACCTACGCGGGCGAAGCCCAACAGATTTCAAGTCTGACTCCTTAACCACTCGGACATATCGACCCCGATGTTGTAGGAAATTTTTGAAGTCAATAGATAGATTCAAATAAAAGTTGAAATGTTTTAAAATTTATTGAATTGTGTGTTTGATCGAGCTAAAATAAATCACACATCGACAGCAAGGTTCAAACCTGCATGGGCGAAGCCCAATAGATTTTAGGTCTGTCTCCTTAACCACTCAGACATATCAACCTCGATGCTTTAAGAAATTTTTGAAGTCAATAGATAGATTCAAATAAAAGTTGAAATGTTTTAAGATTTTTTGAATTATGCGTTTGATCGAGCTAAAATAAATCAAACGTCGACAGTAGGGTTCGAACCTGCGCGGGCAAAGCCCAACAGATTTCAAGTCTGTCTCCTCAAACACTCGAACATATCAACCTCAATGTTGTAGGAAATTTTTGAAGTCAATAGATAGATTCAAATAAAAGTTGAAATGTTTTAAAATTTATTGAATTGTGCGTTTGATCGAGCAAAAATAAATCAAACGTCGATAGCAGGGTTCAAACCTGCGCGGGTGAAGCCCAACAGATTTCAAGTCTGTCTCCTTAACCACTCGGACATATCGACCTCGATGCTGTGAAATTTTTTTAAAGTCGATAGATAGATTCAAATAAAAGTAGAAACATTTTATTAAAATTTATTGAATTATGCGTTTGATCGAGCTAAAATAGATCAAACATCGACAGCAGGGTTCAAACATGCGCGGGCAAAGCCCAACAGATTTCAAGTCTGTTGAAGTCAGATAGATTCAAATAAAAGTTGAAATGTTTTAAAAATTTTTGAATTATGCGTTTGATCGTGCTAAAATAAATCAAACGTCGACAGCAGGGTTCGAACCTGCGTGGGCGAAGCCCAACAGATTTCATGTCTGTCTCCTTAAACACTCAGACATATCGACCCCGATGTTGTAAGAAATTTTTGAAGTCAATAGATAGATTCAAATAAAAGTTGAAATGTTTTAAAATTTATTGAATTGTGCATTTGATCAAGCTTAGATAGATTCAAATAAAAGTTGAAATGTTTAAAATTTATTGAATTGTGCATTTGATCAAGCTAAAATAAATGACACGTCGACAGCAGGGTTCGAACCTGCACGGGCGAAGCCCAATAGATTTTAGGTCTGTCTCCTTAACCACTCAGACATATCAACCTCAATACTTTAAGAAATTTTTGAAGTCAATAGATAGATTCAAATAAAAGTTGAAATGTTTTAAGATTTTTTGAATTATGCGTTTGATCGAGCAAAAATAAATCAAACGTCGACAGCAGGGTTCGAACCTGCGCGGGTGAAGCCCAACAGATTTCAAGTCTGTCTCCTTAACCACTCGGACATATCGACCTCAATGCTTTAGGAAATTTTTGAAGTCAATAGATAGATTCAAATAAAAGTTGAAATGTTTTAAAATTTTTTGAATTATGCGTTTGATCGTGCTAAAATAAATCAAACGTCGACAGCAGGGTTCGAACCTACGCGGGAGAAGCCCAACAGATTTCAAGTCTGTCTCCTTAACCACTCGGACATATCGACCCCGATGTTGTAGGAAATTTTTGAAGTCAATAGATAGATTCAAATAAAAGTTGAAATGTTTTAAAATTTATTGAATTGTGTGTTTGATCGATCTAAAATAAATCACACGTCGACAGCAGGGTTCGAACCTGCGCGAGTGAAGCCCAACAGATTTCAAGTCTGTCTCCTTAACCACTCGGACATATTGACCTCGATGCTGTGGAAAATTTTTAAAGTCAATAGATAGATTCAAATAAAAGTAGAAACATTTTAAAATTTATTGAATTATGCGTTTGATCGAGATAAAATAAACCAAACGTTGAAAGCATGGTTTGAACTTACGTGGGCTAAGCCCTACAGATTTCGAATTTGTCTTCTTAACCACTCGAACATATCGACCTCGACGCTATAGGAAATTTTTGAAGTCAATAGATAGATTCAAATAAAAGTTGAAATATTTAAAAATTTATTGAATTATGCGTTTGATTGAGCTAAAATAAAACAAACGTCGATAGTAGGGTTTGAACCTGCATGGGCAAAGCCCAACAGATTTCAAGTCTGTCTCCTTAACCGCTCAAACATATCAACCTCAATGCTATAGGAAATTTTTGAAGTCAATAGATAAATTTGAATAAAAGTTGAAATGTTTTAAAATTTATTGAATTATGCGTTTGATCGAGCTAAAATAAATCAAACGTCGACAGCAGGGTTCGAACCTACGCGGGCGAAGCCCAATAGATTTCAAGTCTGTCTCCTTAACCACTCGGACATATCGACCCCGATGTTGTAGGAAATTTTTGAAGTCAATAGATAGATTCAAATAAAAGTTGAAATGTTTTAAAATTTATTGAATTGTGTGTTTGATCGAGCTAAAATAAATCACACATCGACAGCAGGGTTCGAACCTGCACAGGTGAAGCCCAATAGATTTTAGGTCTGTCTCCTTAACCACTCAGACATATCGACCACGATGCTTTAAGAAATTTTTGAAGTCAATAGATAGATTCAAATAAAAGTTGAAATGTTTTAAGATTTTTTGAATTATGCGTTTGATCGAGCTAAAATAAATCAAACGTCGACAATAGGGTTCGAACCTGTCGCAGGCAAAGCCCAACAGATTTCAAGTCTGTCTCCTCAAACACTCGGACATATCAACCTCAATGTTGTAGGAAATTTTTGAAGTCAATAGATAAATTTGAATAAAAGTTGAAATGTTTTAAAATTTATAGAATTATGCGTTTGATCGAGCTTAAAATAAATTAAACGTCGACGGCAGGGTTCGAACCTACGCGGGCAAAGCCCAACAGATTTCAAGTCTGTCTCCTTAACCACTCGGACATATCGACCTCGATGTTGTAGGAAATTTTTGAAGTCAATAGATAGATTCAAATAAAAGTTGAAATATTTTAAAATTTATTGAATTATGCGTTTGATCGAGCTAAAATAGATCAAACATCGACAGCAGGGTTCGAACATGCGCGGGCAAAGCCCAACAGATTTCAAGTCTGTCTCCTTAACCACTCGGACATATCGACCTCGATGCTTTAGGAAATTTTTGAAGTCAATAGATAGATTCAAATAAAAGTTGAAATGTTTTAAAATTTTTTGAATTATGCGTTGATAGTGCTAAAATAAATCAAACGTCGACAGCAGGGTTCAAACCTGTCTCCTTAAACACTCGTCATATCGACCCCGATGTTGTAGGAAATTTTTGAAGTCAATAGATAGATAAAAATAAAAGTAGAAATGTTTTAAAATTTATTGTATTGTGCGTTTGATCGAGCTAAAATAAATCACACGTCGACAGCAGGGTTCGAACCTGCACAGGCGAAGCCCAATAGATTTCAAGTTTGTCTCCTTAAACACTCGGACATATCGACCCCGATGTTGTAGGAAATTTTGGAAGTCAATAGATAGCTTCAATTAAAAGTTCAAATGTTTTAAAATTTATTGAATTATGCGTTTGATCGAGCTAAAATAAATCAAACGTCAACAGCAGGGTTCGAACCTGCGCAGGGGAAGCCTAATAGATTTCAAGTCTGTCTCCTTAACCACTCGAACATATCGACCTCAATGCTATGGGAAATTTTTGAAGTCAATAGATAAATTCAAATAAAAGTTGAAATGTTTTAAAATTTATTGAATTGTGCGTTTGATCGAGCTAAAATAAATCACACGTCAACAACATGGTTTGAACCTGCACGGGCGAAGCCCAATAGATTTTAGGTCTGTCTCCTCAAACACTCGGACATATCGACCTCGATGCTTTAAGAAATTTTTGAAGTCAATAGATAGATTCAAATAAAAGTTGAAATGTTTTAAGATTTTTTGAATTATGCGTTTGATCGAGCTAAAATAAATCAAACGTCGACAGTAGGGTTCGAACCTGCACAGGCAAAGCCCAACAGATTTCAAATCTGTCTCCTCAAACACTGGACATATCAACCTCAATGTTGTAGGAAATTTTTGAAGTCAATAGATAAATTTGAATAAAATTTGAAATGTTTTAAAATTTATTGAATTATGCGTTTGATCAAGCTTAAAATAAATCAAACGTCGACAGCAGGGTTCGAACCTACGCGGGCAAAGCCCAACAGATTTCAAGTCTGTCTCCTTAACCACTCGGACATATCGACCTCGATGTTGTAGAAAATTTTTCAAGTCAATAGATAGATTCAAATAAAAGTTGAAATATTTTAAAATTTATTGAATTATGCGTTTGATCGAGCTAAAATAGATCAAACATCGACAGCGGGGTTCGAACATGCGCGGGCAAAGCCCAACAGATTACAAGTCTGTCTCCTTAACCACTCGGACATATCGACCTCGATGCTTTTGGAAATTTTTGAAGTCAATAGATAGATTCAAATAAAAGTTGAAATGTTTTAAAATTTTTTGAATTATGCGTTTGATCGTGCTAAAATAAATCAAACGTCAACAGTAGGGTTCGAACCTGCGTGGGCGAAGCCCAACAGATTTTAAGTCTGTCACCTTAAACAGGACATATCGACCCCGATGTTGTAGGAAATTTTTGAAGTCAATAGATAAATTTGAATAAAAGTTGAAATG